TGGCAACATAGTTGCTGCTGATTATTTTCATGTACTATAAATACTGTAAAGATTATACATAGATTTTAAAGTGAAATGAACTGAAATATTTATATTTTGATACATGATTCTAGTTTTCTGCATCTGTAACAGTTTTGACCTCTAATTACTGTTATAGCTGTTATTTGATGAAATACACATAATAAAGAATCCTACTGAAGGCATCCAAATTTTTAAAAATAATATGATTTATGTGCAAGAACTGTCCTAAGAAAAATTAAGTATTTTTTAAAATACACTTTTTCTAGTAGTCATTTATGTTTTTAAATTCATGATCTGGTGACTTTTTGGTTACTCTTTTATAGATATCCTCTAAACTACCTAGAGATTTTCTTTTTCTGTTTTTGGAAAGCTCTTCAGTCTATTGATCAAAGTATTAGACTGTGAATAGACCAATAGTGTCTATTCCTTTGTACGGAGATTTTGGTTCAGAAAGTTGAACTGAGGTCTACTTTCCATAAAACATAAAAAGACCTACTCTGTACCCTCTTAAGAGAGATATTACAATGGTTAAAGACTCTAAGGAAGAGTTACTGCACTTTAAAATGCAGAGACATAATAGTGGGGTTGATTTTATTATTTAGTCACCCATGATAGTTACTGAAATACCACTGTGTTGTAGGTACTGTCTTGATAATAGGAGTCCCCCCTTATGTGCAGTTTCACTTTCTGTGATTTCAGTTACCTACAGTCAACTGTGATCTGAAAATATCAAATGGAAAATTCCAGAAGTGAACAATTCATAAGTTTTAAATTGTCTGCTCTTCTGAGTGTTGTGAGGACAGCTCGCTCCATCCTGCTTGTGACGTGAATCGTTGCTTTGCCCGTGCCATCATTGCACCACGTGCACCCCTGCCCTAGTAGCTGTCTCGGGGATCAGGCATTTTGAGAGAGCAAAAGAGAGACAGAGACAGAGCCACATTCACGTAACTTTTATTACAGTATATGCTTATAATTGTTTTATTTTATTCATATTGTTGTTACTCTCTGATGGTGCCTAATTTACAGATTCAACTTTATCATATGTGTGTATTTAAAAAACAGTATATATGGGTTTCGGTGTTACCCATGGTTTCAGGCATCCTCTGGGTATACACTGCAGGTCGGGGGGGCTGTTGTACTGGTTTTATTGGGGAATAAACACATAGGATTCCCACCCTTGAGTGTAAGGGAAGGTCATTTAGGGAAGGTTGGGTAATTATAAAATTTGATACAACTGGGCACAAACAGAATGACCATGTAAAAAGGGAAGACACGTCTCTCAGTCTCTTGGCCAGCACTTGAGCAACAGGGAATTGGCCACGTGAAGAGCAGAGGAAAAATCGTTCTCAGCACGGAGAGCAGCATGTCTAAAAAATCTTAAGGCAGAAAATCTTCCTGTGCTTTATAAACTGAAAGGAGACCATGTGGCTGGATCACTGCAGGAGAGCGGGGTAGGCGCTGCTGCTGGGGATGGAAAGGGAGTGGAGGCCTTGGCTTGCCCTGAAGGCCATGGTACTTAAAGCGTTCAGGTTTAATTTCAAGCACATTGGGAAGCTGTTAAAGGGTTTATGTTTTATGAAGATCATACAGAAGTGAGGTGGGCAGGAATAGAGGCAGTGAAAAGAAGGCTGTTGAAAGAATTCAGGAGAGAATTGATGACTTCCTCAGTGGCAGGAACTCAAGTCAAGATATACAGTTACCCTTGAACAACACAGATTTGAAAAGTATGAGTCCACTTATGTGTGGATTATTTTCAATAAAGATATGGGAGAATTTTTTTTTTTGGAGATTTTGTATCGAGTACACTAAGCTGCCATAAAGCAGTCATATTGTTGCTTCTTCATTATCAATTCATGAATTGTTATATCTATAAATAAGTGTGAACTTCTTTTCCACAATACCTTTTTTTGGTCTTTAAGTGCTGGTAATAAGTATAATGTCTACAGTGTTTTATATCCTATAAGACAATATTTATATAGGTACTGAGGCAATTCATCTTATAAATAGATGATGAAAACTTACAGTATTGGTAAATACAGTAAAGCACTGTAAATGCACTTTCTCAGCATTCTCTTTTCTCTCACTTTACTGTAGGAATACAGTCTATAATACATATAAATACAAAATATATGTTAATCAGTTGTGTTATCGGTAACACTGCTGATCAGTGGTAGACAATTACAAAAGTTTTCTGGGAAGTGAACAGTTATATGCAGATTTTTGACCACGGCAGGGGGTCAGTACCCCGAAATTATTCAAGAGTTAGTTGTATTTTGGAAGATCATATTTTTAATATATTTACAAAGTCATGTATTTTGCAAACCTTTCCTGTATTAGATAAGGAAGATAAGGGAAAGGAAAATGCCAGGGTGACATACGAAACTCTGGCTTGAAGGAATGGCATTGCTGTTTGTTGAGGTGAGATGCGGGAAGGAACAGATTTGGGAGAGAAAAGTCAACAGATACCTGTGAGGAAGGTCAAGTGAAAGTTGCATACTTGTTTTAAAAGCTTAGGAAAGAGGGTTGGACTAGAGATATGGATCTGAAAGTCAATGGCTTATAGAAAGTATTGTAAGCACTGAGAAAGGGTATCATAAGCTGGGGAGGGAATGTAGAGAGAGAAGAAAAGAGGTCTTAGAATGGAGTTTTCTGGGACATTCCCATACTTAGAGGTTGGATAAGGAATAAACTTGTCAAAGAGCATGAAAAGGAGTATCCATAAAGATGGGAGAAAAGGAGGAGACTGTGGTGAGTTCTGAATCCCAACAGATAAAAACGTATTGACAAGGAAAGTCTCATCACAAGGCAGGGACTACTAAAGGTCAGATGAATCGAGAACAGACAAGAGTATGTGGTCCATTGCATTGACCACAAGAGCCCCCACCGAATGGAGTAAGGCAGGAGTGGTGGCAAAGGGGAAGTGAGGAAGTATAAGACAGTAAGGGTCAACAGGAAATTTTTTGAGAAGTTATGAGCAGAGAAATATGAAGTAGCTGAGGGAGGACATGAGGTCAAGGGAAGGCTACTTTGTTTTCGTAAGATGGGAAGCACTGCAGTCTGACTAGTAGAATTTTAGTCTGTGGAATGTATATTAGATTGGGTGTGAGCTAGTGTACTGAGGCTCAAACAAGATGGAAGTTGATTTCTGCCTCATGTAACAATCCAGAGCAGGTGTGTTGTGCTCCAGGGGGTCATCCAGGGACCCAGGCTGAAAGGGGCAACTCTTGCATCCTCCTGAACTTGGGGCCTCCATGACTGGGTCTGTGGGGACCATGTCAGTCATTAATTTCCAGCCAATGGGAAAGGGGAATCTAAGGCCAGTGGCTTTGTCTTTATGACAATGACCTAAATATTGAATACATTTTCTCTGTTGTCTCATTGGTCAGGTTTGGTTGCATGGACACAACTCATTGTGGTCTCGAGCTGGGTGGAAGAGTACCAGCAAAAACTGAAAGTTTAGTTAGTAAAAGGGGAATGGAGAAAATGGGTTCTGGGGAGTGTCTGTTTTATACTATTTACTTTCAAGATTTGCTTAAAGACCTGAAATGTGATGTAAGAGGAAAAAAGACAGTGCGTTAGTTTTATTTGGATTGTTATCTTGCTCTGAATTTGGATCTGATATTTACATACATTTTGAGCAACTGAGCACATGTCAAGTTGGTATATCTATTATTCAACAGAAAGAATAACTGGTGATTGTAAAAAGTAATCCTGAATAGAAGCACTGATACAGTATTTAGTCTATAACGTAGATCAGTATTTATTTGTGATGTTTCTCCTCTTCTTCAAATTATTAAACATATTCCAATGTGTATTGTGAAGATGGGAACTAAATAGTTTTAGCATGGAGTTTTATTTTGCATAATTTTACTTTCCACTAATGTATATATCATTTGCTTAAGACATTATACTAGCCCTTTGCTCATGAGATTTTTACTGTAAAATTGTAATTAGGAAGGGAAAATATATGACATTCCTCTGAGGTATTTGTTTTGGGGGTAATTCTTATATACCGAAGATAAGGAATTATTTAGAATGACATGGTAACCATAGGCAGAACAGCTCTGTTGCCACTTAGAGTGAAAAACAGCTCTAAAAAATGGCATGTCTAATAGTAGAGGAAAAAGTAACAACAGAAAATAACTTCTTTAGTTATGATCATGTTCAGTTCCCTCATTTAGCAGAAGCAGAAACTGAGGCAGAACATACTGCTTAGAAGATAGTGGTTATATTTTATAAAGTCTTTTCAGGATGTAAGAGCAGATTATTATGAATTAAGATCTGCTGTTTGAGTTTCTTATGCGATAGTTCCCTTTCAAAATTCAAGGGAAATAGAAGGAAGCCAGGAAGAAGCCTATGAGAATTGACTTGTCAGGGAGGGAGAGGTGATGCTGCCCAGCTTCCCTCCAGCCATGGCCAGTGCTTGTCCAGTATGTGACACATTCCATGTCACTGGACCAGCCTCTGTTGCAGTAGTTGTTCAAATGAGAAATCAAAGAGAAAGGCATATGATCATGCAAGAAAGAGAGATTCAGGAGCTGGGAGAGGCAGAGCAGGGTTTTTAGAGATAGGAAAGGAGAAAGGGAATTGAGAAGGAATAGGCAGTTCATTATTAGGTCATCCTTCCCAGAGATTAAAATATATATTAGGCTGATACAGCAAATTCATTTTTCTGAAATTAAATATATCTGTTATGTCATTATTATGGCATTAGTGGAGTGTCATTTTAGAGTCATTGGTGTCAAAACTCTAATAGAACTAAAACCTGTGATCATTACAAATCAACTTTTACTTCTAGTGAAATGTTAATTTGGGATTATTCACAGGCACCCGTCTTCATGGTAAATTTGACAAGTCGTCTGTTAGTTGTGTGTAGTAGTATCATGGTTTGATTGTTAGCATTTCTCTGCATCCTGGTGTTCTTGCCTAGGAAAGGTAATTGCACCCAGTGATGGGACGTTTCCTTTTTCTGCTTGCAGAACAATCAACCATGACAACTGAATCTGGCTCAGACTCAGAATCCAAGCCTGAGCAGGAGGCCGAGGCCCAGGAGGCGGCAGGTCCGCAAGGGCCCTCAGGGGCACAGCCGGGGCCCGAAGAGCAGCGCCAGGCCTTGGAGCAGTTCGCAGCTGCTGCGGCACACAGCACCCCCGTGAAAAAGGAGGTGAGCCCCGGGACCGTTCTGCCCTGCTCCCCTGCGGTGGCTGGCATCACCCAGAAAACCAATTGAAGAATGTTTACTGAGCTTTTTCAGAGTTTGGCCTGACCTTGGTCTCTTAGCACTAGAGGGAACTATGAGGGGTCATCTGCTTTGCCCCTTCTTGTCCCAGGCAGATGAAAATTGGTGCTCTTTTAAGGCTTTCAATGAATAACATTCCACAGCCATGCCTGGTAACTCCTTCATTTGATTAAAGCTCTTAAACTCACACTGAAATCTGGATACCAGGTTATTGGTTTTATCTGGGTTTACAGGAAGGCTAGACACCACACTGATGGCTTTAATTATGCTCTTGATTTTTATTCAAGCTGGGGGTTAAAGCTATTTTGGTTTTTCAAAATGTTGCCAGCTACTCTTCATGGATGTTCAGGTCAGTCTCTTTCCCTTCCCTTTGTACATGTATATTTTCAACTCTGTTACATACGAGGCATATATCAGTTGTCACATGTAATGTGGATACTTCTTTTAAAAGTTTCCATGTTAAATATAAAGCATGGTCTAAACCCGGGCCTTGAATGAATCCATGTTTAAATGTCTTTGGCTTAAAACATTAGGCCTGGAATCCACATGTTTAAGAGTGCTGGCTCACATGTGGTAAGGAAGTCAAGAGTCCCCTGTAAATGATTTCCTTCTCATAGGTCAGATGTGTATGTGTCAAGCTAGAAATTTTAGACCCTGTGAGAGGAGACCTGAAATCAGCATGTTAGTAAAATTCTTTGAAAGGCAGAACACATTATTGTAACATGAAGCTACAATACGTGTTCACAACCTGATTATTTCTTTTCCCATAGTATTTAAGTTTTGCTTTATAATAGTATTGAGAATAACATTTATTTTCATGTTTTATAAATAGATTCTCTGTCTGTTCCAGGCTGTTTAGTGCTGGGGAGTAGAGGCTTAGTCTTTACCCTTGTGAAGCAAAATCTATGGAGCTATTGTTTTCGTGATGTCCCTTTACCTTCCCTTTTGTTTTTGTGGAGGACTGATGGTGGTAGTGTTTGCTTGTTTTTAAATCTTCGGAAATTTAAAATAACTAGGCTGGCTTTTCTTCATTCTTTCTTCTTAACTCTGAATGGAAATAAAAATGAAAGTGGGGGGTAATCATAGAGATGGAAGAGTTTCTATACCCAGGTATGATTAAATATTCTGTATTTTCTATAGTCAGATATTTGAAACAAAATGAGAGAAATAATGTTAAACCCTTAGTGGGAAAGGTGACTGGTTGCAAAGTCAAGAGACCTAAATTAGTCCTGTGTCTTCCCCTAGTATTGTAGTAGCCTGGAAACATTCAAGTCCTCGGGGCGTCAATTCCTTACTTACAAATGAAGAGATCAGAAAAGATAATTCCCTAAGACTCTTCCACTCTAAAATTCTTTGAATCACACTAGGGACCCAGTTCTGTTGAGATACATCACAAAGTACATTTGGATAGTTAGCAGTGATTAAAACCTGAATTCTAGTTTACTAGTCTTGTTACCCTGAGAAAGGTTGTTGACATTGTGCTTTGTTCCTTTCTCCTCATGTGCAACTGAGAGTAATAATACCCACATTCCAGAGCTGTTAGGAGGATTAAATGAATAGAGATTTGCTAAAACAGTTGATATTGACATTTTTTATTTATCTTTCTTTTAGTTTTAAAGATCATTTAGTAATCTTAAATATATACAAACTCATGGGTTAAGATATTTATCAATTTATTACCAATAGGTTATTTGTTGGGATATTGTTCGAAAGGGACTTCACCTGTTATCTTTACCATTTTTTCCCTCATGAAAGAGGATCCCTGGTTATCTTTCTTTTTACATTCTTTCTAGATCCTTTGAAGTAGTCCCCTGGCCATCTTAGGAAATTCAGTGATACTGATATTTTTAAATTGTAGTGCACTGTATGACTGTGATTGACATTTCATTCTGAAGTACTTGGTCTGCCCTTCTATGTGCTTCAGAGCCGCAGTGATGGGTGGGTGTGTCATGTGTATGGAAAGGTGTCGTCCCGCTGACCATTGGTGGTTTATGACGATTCTGGTATTGATATAGAACTCACCTAGAAGGTGTATTCTGTTACAGAGGTACTTTTATCTTAGTAGAGGGAAAGTGAAATTTCATCTTCCTACTACAAAGGTTGATTCCAGGTAAAATTTAAATAAAAATGTAGCTTCTGTTGACTTTGCTGATGATGAGATGAAATATAAATTAAAAGTCTTACGTAAATTATGAAGTACTTAACAAATGTGTTATAGTTATTAATATAAAATTCAAGGTTACGAAATTTCTTAAACTAACTTAAGGCCAGAATTAATGTTTTATGACTTTTTTTTTGCACTATTTTAATGCTTTGATACGGAAAGACTAACAGTTGATCCAACTGTTGACAGTTATTCACAGTCAACAGTTGGACCAAGTTACCACAGCAGATTTTCTTTTGTTTTAGCTGGGCCGGCCTTCTCAGTTGCTTTGGATTTTGAAGTTGCTTATTCAATTTTTCCTTTCTTTTTTTTTTTTTTTAATTTTTTTTGTTTCATTTTTTTTTATTGTTCAAATACATTTGTCTCCATTTTCCCACCACCACTTTCCCCTGCTCCCCTCCCCTACCTCCCTCCCTCAATCCTTCCCCACTTTGGCTTTGTCCATGGGTTCTTTATACATGTTCCTTGATTTGACCCTTCCCTGCCCTTTCCTCGCTCCTCCCCTTCCCTCTTGATTCTGTTGGTTTCTTTTTTCTTTCAATGTTGCTGGTTATATTTTCCTTGCTTGTTTGTTTTGTTGGTTAGGTTCCACTTGTAGGTAAGATCATATGGTATTTGTCTTTCACCCCCTGGCTTATTTCACTTAGCATAATGCTCTCCAGTTTCATCCATGCTGTTGTGAAGGGTAGTAGCTCTTTCTTTCTGCTGTGTAGTATTCCATTGTGTAAATGTACCATAGTTTTTTGATCCACCCATTTACTGATGGGCACTTAGGTTGCTTCCAGCACTAGCCTATTGTAAATTGTGCTGCTGTGAACATTGGGGTGCATAGGTTCTTTTGAGTTGGTGTTTCAGGATTCTTAGGGTATCATCTCCACAGTGGAATTGCTGGGTCAAAAGGCAGTTCCATTTTTATCTTTTTGAGGAAATTCCAAACTGTTTTCTACAGTGGCTGCAGCAGTCTGTTTTCCCACCAACAGCGTACCAGGGTTCCCTTTTCTCCACAGCCTCGCCAGCACCTGTGGTTTGTGGATCTGTTTATGATGGCCATTCTGACCCGTGTGAGGTGGTACCTCATGGTGGTTTTAATTTGCATTTCTCTGATGGCTAGTGATGCTGAGCATCCTTTCCTATGTCTCTGGGTCCTCTGTATCTCTTCCTTGGAGAAACGTCTGTTCAGGTCCTTTGTCCATCTTTTAATTGGATTGTTTGTCTTCATGGAGTGGAGTCATTTGAGTTCTTTATATATTTTGGAGATCAAACCCCTGTCTGATGTATCATTGGCAAATACATTTTCCCATACAATTGGTTCCCTTTTCATTTTGCTGATGTTTTCTTTAGCTGTGCAGAAGCTTCTTATTTTGATGAGGTCCCACTTGTTTATTCTTTCCTTTATGTCCCTTGCTTTAGGGGACATATTGGTGAAAATATTGCTGCATGGGATAACTGAGAGTTTACTGCCTATGTTCTCCTCTAGGACTTTTATGGTGTCGTGACTCATATTTAAGATGGTCTTTTATCCATCTCGAGTGTATTTTTGTGTATGGTGTTAGTTGGTGGTTGAATTTCAATTTTTTGCATGTCGCTGTCCAGCTCTCCCAACACCATTTGTTATAGACGCTCTTTTTACTCCATTTTATGCTTCTGCCCCCTTTGTCAAATATTAATTGACCATAGAGACATGGGTTTATTTCTGGTCTTTCTGTTCTGTTCCACTGATCTGTGTCTGTTCTTATGCCAGTACAAGACTGTTTTGATTACTGTGGCCTTGTAATACAGTTTTATGTCCGGTATTGTGATCCTTCCTGCTTTGTTTTTCTTTCAATTTTTTCTTGATTTCTTCACTCAGCAAGTAGTTTTTTATCTGTTTGTTTTGTTTTGTTTTCCTTCTTAGGAATGTCTCAAGACTTTGTCTGAATTCCTGGGCAAGGTAGTAGAGGAAAGGACTGTATTTGCAATCTTCTGGATGTAAAACAAGATAGAAAATGCCATCATAAAAGCAGGAATCTATACCTAAAATCCGAAATAAATATACTGAAAAATAACTTTGTGATTTTATTAGAGTGTTAAATATTATAGAGACTAATAAAGAAGAAAAGTTGAAATGATAGTCAATATTGTCTTCACTTTGGAGCCCCTGTCCATTTAGCTACCAGAACAATGGTACGTTCATGAGAGAAGAAATTTCATGCTTATTTGAGGGGCCTGAAATGAATTTCAGAACATATTTTTCTTTGGACTGTCAGTGTTTATTTTTGTAGGCCAGCAGAATGGTAGTCTGGCCCATGACTTGAACTTGCACTAATACCATTTGTGGTTGGTCATTTAATACATAGATGAGGGGTGTAAAAAAGTAGTTAGCAGTGCATAGAGAGATTTCCAAGGAGAGGGATTCAAAGAACAATTTTATTGTTACATAGGATGTCCTCTGGATTTCTGAGTCTAGCCTGGACAAGGTAGACTGTTGTGATTTGAAAGCAGATTAAAGCTTTTGGACCGATTTGATCTGTTCTTATACTAGATCATTACAATGAATGGAACTGGATTTAGAGGATTACTTTGTGATGAATTTCAGTGCTTGCTGGCTTCATTGAATTGATTTAGAGCTAAATCAAATATTTTAACAATTGTAAAATTACTGAGAGGATTAATACTTGAGATTCTTTGGGATCCTTAAAGCTTATAACATAACTTGTATGTATTATATATTTGGTGATGATGGGTCTTAGAATATAGAAGACCCAGTTAATGAAGAAAATCAAGTACATTAGGTAAAAGCCAGATGATGTATTTTAAAGACTCATATTATCCAATGCCTTTTTAAAAAGCAAGAGTCCATTTGTTTTTCTTCTTTGCTTAGTGAAATTTTAATGACACTTGCTTGACTCAAACTGAAATAAGTCCCTATTGGTACATCTTAATGGCAAAGATATTTAGGTAAAATTGTTAGCATTATAAATATCTATATATTTATAGCCTTTTCTAATATCCTAATTCAGATGCCTCTCATCAGGAAACAGGAATGCCTCTTTCTGAAGTATTCTGGTATTGGCAGAGCAATGCAATATTTATGTCCTGTTGTGGAATGAAAACTCTTCATTGTTCTTCACAGGTCACTGACAAGGAACGGGAATTTGCTGCTGGAGCTGCAAAACAGCTCGAATATCAGCAATTGGAAGACGATAAACTTTCTCAGAAATCATCAAGCAGTAAACTCTCCCGATCTCCGTTGAAGATTGTCAAAAAGCCTAAAAGCATGCAGTGCAAAGTGATACTTCTGGATGGATCAGAATATACCTGTGATGTGGAGGTAAGTGTATATTTTAAAACCTTTTTGTCTCAAATCTTAGGGCTGGGGAATGTTTGCGTAAAACATACAAGATGCCTCTTTATTTTTTCAGAACTCTCGAAAAACACTTAGACCCAGTTGCTAAATATAAAGTTATTTCCAAAATCTGTAACAGGGAGTCAACTTACTAAAAATACTGATAATGTCCCTCAAATATTACTGTCAAAAGAAAAATATGATCTTTTTACAACAATCTCCAACACTAAAAATCAAGTTTTCTTTAATATCCTGGCTATGAACTATCATGTAAATGAATTTGGCCTTTTCTGTTTGAATATTTTATGGCAAAGTCAACTGTTTAATGGTAGAAGCATAGAGATTTCTGTATATAGGAGCACTGGGGTAATTCAAACTGTGTATTTCTTTTTCTTGCCGAGAGAATGAGTGGCCTGTAAAATGTACATTCTTGTGGGCATTGCAGCTTGAATGCCCTTTTGGTAAAGAAAACAAATTCCTCTCAGAGAAGAGGCAGTTGAATGACTTTTGTCTGAGCCATGTAGCAAGCCCAAGCTAACAGATGACAAGAAAACCTGTCCATAGCTATGGACGTGGGTGCCTGTTGAGTTCTGCAAGTTATCATGGAGAGTACACTCAGGGCATGGACTGAGGCTGTGGGAGCAGGTCTCTGTGTGTACCCCCCTTGTGGCTTTTCTCCCCATAGCTGGGAAGGGCAGCTTGCTCTTCCAGCAAAGTGATTCCATTTCAAAGTCAATGTTTTCGTTCAGAGAGCCCATTCCTCCTACCTCCAGGCCCCTGCCCTTCATGCACAGGGACATTACACTTCCCTCTACACCAGCCCTTCACACCACATTACACAACTCTCCTTTTCTGCTGGGTGTGCCGAGTTGCTCCCAGGCCCATGGGCAGTGTACACCTGTGTGTTCCACATTTCTGTTCCTCCTCCTTCCCGACATGAACAGCACCCAGCTCACCTGATTTCCTGTGTCCCACCTTCATTCATCTCTCCTTTCACTGTCTATTGCCCCATATCATTCATTCCCATTTTACTTTGTTTAATACACTTGGGCACTCAATGCTTTTCTTGGAACAGAAGATTCAAATCCATTTTACATTGATAATGTTTGTAAGGGTAGGGATAGAATTGGAGTTACAAAATTTTTACAGATTGTAACTAAATTATTACAGATTGTAAGAACATAGAAAATGTATTTCTATTTTTGGAAATAAATGATAAGGTCAGAAGTGATTTAGTCTATCATGTATTTATAGAATTTTTGTCACCATATAACTTGACAGACATTGAGGGATTGCTACAAAGAGTAAAATATATGTGCCAAGGACCCTACCTAAGGTTGCTGTACACAGTTCCATTTCTTGCATTTTCCTGGCTTTGATTTTGGCTAAAATCTTAGCCCACAGTGTTCAGTTGTTGATCTGAATGTTTATTCTGGAAATGGGAAATACAGTTATGTACCTCTACATGTGTTTTACTATGAAGCTTAAAGGACTTTTGTAATCTTGAGAGAGGCTATATTTTTCCATTGTATATCTGCTTTCTGGAAAAATTGATATAAGAGAAGCTTTTTTGTTAACTTCAAGAACTGTCTTTCTGTTGATTTCATTATACAGTATAATGGAATAAATAGGGTTATCTGGCAGCCCTCTGGTCTGCCAGAGTTTTCTAAAGAAGATGGTAGTGTTTTATTTGGGGAGAATAAATACTTCAGAACAGACCAGGGTATGTGTAATGTTGATCATTTTGCTAAATTTAATTTATATCCCATGCGTCAAATTCATTGGAGGTAATTTGTGTTTTTGAGTACAAAATTTTCATTTTTTAATTAACTTTGGGCACAATTCAATGTTACTTTTACTGTCACTCTGATCATTTGGAGTGGCAGGGCAATGTTGGTCAGTTATTTTCCATTATAATAAAGTATTTTTATAAATTTGACAGATTCTTGGGTAACTTTTTTTCTGTCCCAGAAGCCTTTGCCAGCAGAATATTTTCGGTTTTGCAGCAGACTTCAGTAGTAGAAAAAATGTGTTTAGCACTGACACTGTTGTTAGAAAAAATGTGTTTAGCACTGACACTGTTGTGAGGAAGATGGAGACATTTGGACATGGTAAAGTGAAATGGATTTATTTGTAGCTGACTAGGTGAATAAGGAGAATGGTTATGAAGCAGTGGTATGGTTCCCAAGGTGGAAATAAGACGCTAGTTGATAAAACATATTGAAAATGCCTCTTGTCTTTAGATACGAACTGTGGAATGTAAACCTTGGCTGGCAAGGTGAACAGGGTGTAATAGGTAAACACAGGTTGAAAAACTTTGACTTGGGGAAGATATTCTTTGGTCTTTTCTCTCCTTTAAAAATAAGTTTTTATCAGCCTTGAATGAAGGAACCAAAAAATATTTTTTAAAGTGATAACAGAGCTTTAAAAGTGACTAAGGGTCCATGTGTGAGGTAGACAATGTGGAACACTGAAGCAAAGTAGCAAGGTAAGATTTAGCAGGTGGTAAAACTTTACCTATTTTTAAGGTGTAAGTACAAAAGAGAAATGGGTTTGGAGACAGGGCAGTTAGACCGAATGACAGTTCAGGTGAAACTCATCTTTGGTTCGTCCGTCACAAACTCAGTGCGAACCAGCAGTGTGGTATAGCTGTCAGGCCGACCTGGCAGTCCCAGAGCAAGAGTAGCGTGGCTCCTGGTGTTGGAGAGGGTCCATCCACGGTGTCTTGTTTAGTTCAGATGTAAGAAGAATGCTCCAAATTCACCAAATTGGGGTGCAAAAATGGAATCCTTCACTTGTAATCCACAAATTCAGGTGACATCCTTAAATTTTCTGAACCTAAGTTTCCTCACCAGAAAAATGAGGGTGAACGTATTTGCCTCAGAAAGGCATTACTGAAAAGATTAAAGCTAATACTTTATTTGAACACTATCTGGGATGTAGCATACTCTTGATAAGTGGTAGCCGTTTTCTCATAATTAGAACAGTGAATTCAGCCCTGGCTTGTGTGGCTCAGTCAGTTGGAGCATCATCCTATAAACCAAAAGGTCACAGGTTTGATTCCTGGTCAGGGACATGCCTAATTGTGGATTTGCTCCCTGGTCAGCCCATACACAAGAGGCAACCAATAGATGCTCCTCTTCCTTTCTCGCTGTCCCTCTCTTTCTCTCTCTCTCAAATCAGCAAGCATGTCCTCGGTGAGGATTAAAAAAAAAAAAAAAGGAACAGTGAATCTAACTTGAGCTTATTTGACAGAGAGTTATTGGATGGTGAAGGTTCTCCAGATGGCTTGGAATCTGAAGTAAACAGAAAAACGGTGGAGTTCACTCCTACAAACATTTCTTGATCCCATCCAGAGAAAAATCTAAGGAACTTTTACAAATTTCTTTCTAGCAGTAGGCTGAGGTGATTGTAGCATTCAACGTTTTTCCATTTGAGAGACTTTTTCCCGGATTTTGAACTCTTAGTCTTGATTATCTAAAATATAAAAAGATCTTATAATGAGTATAAGAAAAGATCTTATTATAAGTAATTTGATATGTATGTTTAGGAAATGTTTGCGTGCTACCAGATTTTCAAGTCTGCCAACAAAATCACTATACTGTCATTCCCTTATTTTTATTGGACCATTAAAGAACATAAGCAACTTTCCATTGCCAGTTTATCACTGTTGCTGTATATTTCTTGGACATAAATTTTAAAAGAAAATAAATACCCCATTCACACACAACAGAGGAAACAGTGCTCATCACATTTATTTTAGTCCCATTATTTCTAATGGGACTCACAGAGTCTAACTAATTAGCATACAACATATTTTCTAATGACCATCCAATTAGAAATGTTTTCTCTCATTTGGATACCATTTTAATCTAGTCTGAGTTGGTTTTAGGGAAATAAGTAAAAAATCTGAATTTTGAGTCCATATTTCATAATACTAGTTTGCTGCTATTTATAAAAAATGTTCAAGCCATTTTATGGTATAATTTGGTTTGTCCTCCATAAGAAACCAGTTTGGCGGCGGAATCTAGAGCATGATTGGAAAAGTGGCAGAGGGTTTACCATGTTCCTCACAAGGGCCCTGCCATGTGCCTCCATGCATGTGAGACCTCAGTTTACCATACCTGAGGGTGATTCAATAGTGAGGGAGACTTGGTGCCTAGAAGACCCAAGTAAATTCACACGGGGTAGCATTCCAGGGGAAGATGCTAATGAATCAGCCGCATTGTAGTGAGAGCTTTATATTCAGATCAGGTCAAATCAAAAAAGGCTACTTCAGGGCAGCAGTAAAGTCATAAAAGCCTGCCCCCCATATTTGGCCCTGTGCAGAAGCTGGCTGGTTGAATGAGTTCTGTAACAAGACCATCAGGGTCCCTCAGAATGTCCCAGAATCTGGGGTAAGCACAGAAACTGTGACGTTCATTTCAACAAACATTTATTAATGAGCATCCTGAGATGCATCGAAGGAACCAGACAGGGTAAGGAATTTATGGCACTCTGTCCTAAATGTGCTTTGGTCACCTTCTAACAACTGGTCAGGAAGGGATTGTTAAAAAAATTTCCAAGTGCTTTGTCTTGCCTGTGATTCAATTAACTGTCTAAATCTGTTGTGGTATTTTATATACTCCACTTAACTGAGATTTGGTTGGAAAAACAAATGCAGTGTCTGAACTTTTCAACTTCTATAGATGTCACATGATTAGAATACCTTACAATCCCTTTGGAAGTTCTTGGCTAGACAGCAAAGAGAATCATCATAATGCAGAATGTTGATTAGAGCACCTGTTGCCATTCATGTATTATAAGAAACAATAATTAATTGTAAAAAACAAGTAAACAAGTGTCTTTTCCAATCCAGTACAGGTACTGTTCATTCAACAACATAAGTGTCAGAGTTTCTGATTCTGTAATTGTGTGAATTCCATTTTAACCTCTTAGTGGTCCTCTGCTCAGCTCTGTCTACCATATCACACTGTCTGTCATGC